ATTATTCAGTCCATAAAGCTCAGTCAGTAGAACATCAGGCTTTTAATCTGAGGGTTCAGGGTTCAAGTCTCTGTTCAGGTGCAGTTTTCAAATCCCATTTCAATTGTTTAGTCAAAAATAAAAACTAAAGAACTGTGGATGCTGGAAATTATAAACAAAAACAGAAATTGTTGGAAAAACTCAGCAGGTCCCGCAGTGTTAAAGTTTTAGATCTATCGACTCTTCTTCAGAATGTTAACTCTGCTTTCTTTCCACAAATGCGGCCATTCCTGCAGTTTTAGGGGTGGCATGGTGGTTAGCACTGCTGCTTCACAGCACTAGGTACCGGGTTTGATTCTAATCTGACACATTCTCCCCGTGTCTGCATGGGTTTCCTCCGGGTGCTCCGTTTTCCTCCCACACTCCAAAGATGTACAGGTTAGGTGGATTGGCCGTGGGAAACACAAGGTAACAGAGATAATGGGGGGGGGGGGGGGGTGGTCCGGAAATATGGGTGGAATGCTCTTCGGAGAGTCAGTGTAGACTCAATGGGCCAAATGGTCTTTATCTACACTGTAAGGATTTTATGATTCTAAGCCTGTAGACCATTCCATCCACTCATGGCTGATCTTTGGCTTCAATTCAACTTTCTCTCATGCACCCCATAAGACTAGAAGACTAGAGATAGCTCTCAAGCTTCTTCCTTTTCATCCACTGAAGCAGGTAGGTGGGTCCTTGATCTAATTTCTCCCCTGAAAAATGGCACCTCACAATTCAGCAATCCTTCAGTCTGGCAGTGGAGTATCAGCCACGTTTATGTGCTGCTGCCCTGATTTTAGGAGGTGGCTGTATTATTTTACTTGTTCAGTTCAGTATTGCTTCATTAATAACACTCCACCATCTCATTTACTTCCTACAATGCCAATGAGAATTGCTGCAGTATTGGATCAGAGAATTGTAAAATGAAACAAAAATAAACTGGAAAATAGTAAACAAATGGTTTAAACATAAAATATTGAGAGTCTGAAAAAAATAATTCAAGTGAAAATACCAAGAGAATCTGTCAGTATTTGCTCAAGTGACTGACCTCATGTAGTCTGAAAACAAAGAGACCAGACCAAGCAGAAAGGAAATATATTGGGAAGTCAATGAAATTGCCGAGAAACTAATCAATAGTGGTTTAACACTGGTGATGGTTTAACCTGACGGTCACCACTCCTCAGGTAAAGGGAGAGGTTGAGAAGGAGAGTCCCTCATGGTAACTTCAGTCAGTGGGGAAACTAAACCCAAACTGTTGCACCGTAAACTAACCGTCCAGCCAACTGAACTAACCAACCCTTTGTAGGCTCCTGATATCCTCTTTACAACTTTGGTCCCTTCATTCAAATCATTTATATTAATTGTAAAGAGTTGAGGCTGCAGTACCGACCCCTGTGGCGCAAACATGACATCCTGCCAGCCTGCAAAAGACCCATTTATTCCCTTTCTTTGCTTCCTTTTAGCCAGCCAATCTTCTGTTCATGCCAATATGTTACACCCTACACCTTCAGCTTTTATTTTCTGCAATAATCCTTGATGTGGCACCTTACTAAATGCCTTCTGGAAATCTAAGTACAGTATATCCACTGGTTCCCCTTTCTCTACAGCACAAGTTCTCTCTCTAAAGAACTCCAATAATTGAGTGAAATATAATTTCTCTTTGTCAAAACCATGTTGGTACTGCCTGATTACCTTAAACTTAACAGTTGTTATAACTTCTTTACTAATAGCTTCTAACATTTTCCCTATGATAGATATTAAGCCAACTGGCCTGTATTTTTCTGCTTTCTGCTTCCCTCCCTTGGTGAATAAAGGAGTTACATTAGCTATTTTCCAATATAAAGGAACCTCACTCAAGTTTAATGAATTTGGAAAATTAAAACCAATTATTAAACTATCCCAGAAAGAAAAACATGAATCAGTTCTGAGAAAGGTTCACTCGACCTGAAAAGTTAACTGATTTCTCTCCACAGATGCTGCCAGACCTGCTGAGCTTTTCCAGCAATTTGTTATTGTTTCTGATTTAAAGCATCTGCAGTTCTTTCGGTTTTTATTTAGCATAAACTATCTCACAACGACTTCTTTTAAAACCTTAGATCAAATCCATCCCCAGTTTATAGAATGCTTTTAAGACAGTTCCTTAGAGCAACACTTTCCACACTGTAGGGATTCTGACAACCTGTTAATCGGTTAGTCCAATTATAAAGGGAAAATTATAAAGATTGGACAGAATATAAAGAATGGCAGAGAAAAGATTAATCAATAGAAAGAAATTAGAATATGAGAGGAAGCTAGTTCGCAATATAAAAATGGATAGCAACAGTTTGAACAGGCCTGTTAGAAGGAAAAGAGTAAGGGAAGTGACAAACACAAATGATGTAATTACTTTGCTTTGTGTAATTTTGGAGATCACGAAGTGGGGAGGATATATGGAAGAACAAATACATAATGAATTACACAGCAGAAGGCTGTCGAGGCCAGGTAATTAAGTATAGTCAAGACTGAGATAGACCGAGTTTTAAACAGTGAGGGAATTGAGAATTATGGGGATAAGGAAAGAAAGTGTTGAGGATTATCAGATGAGCCATCATCTCATTGAATAACAGAGCAGACTCGATGGGCCGAATGGCCTACTTCTGTTCCTACTCTTCTGGTGTTTCAATATCCTGGCACCTGTACCGCCATTCCCATCTATCCCATCTACTTAAATAACTCAAAACCACATTTTTAGACAGCACTGTTAGAAACCAGTGTTAGCAGTGCAGGGATTCTAGGATGTTGCGCATCCATGAATATCAATAAAATACATAAATACAAAGTGCTTGTAAAATTAATAAATTATAGAAGTTTAGCTGTGAACAAATACTCACATAATTGGATCCTTCATCCCAGTGACAATTCAGTTCAAGGCAGTGGAGGCGCCTTAGTAATTAAAAGAACTATTTAAAAATAATTACAATTTATCTAAAGGAACTAAAGAAACAGATTGGAGTTCATGATTGTACTTTAACAATTTCAATTTTTTATAAGCTACAAAACCAAGTACATAATATTAAATGCTTCATTGTTTGAAACAATCTACAATTATGTGACAGCATCTTGCTTTCTTATCAGGAAATTCTTTTCAGACAGCACTTGCTGGTCCTGGCTCTCTGGCTGCCATTGTCATCTCCTGTGTGCACATTTTTTGCTTCTTTTCTTTCCCCAGTACGATTCCATTTTGCCTTTCCCCATTATCTATTTTGTCCTTTAATCACTTCTGCTGTCTGTTCTTAATGCTTTTGCCCCCACCAGCTGCAAACACACCCTTCATTCCAAACTTGTTTATAAGCGGTTAAATTTCTAAGACTTTCCAGGTCCAACCACTAGTCTAAAATGTCAAGGCCTGCCACGTGTTTTCTGTATTGATCGCAGCTCTTTGTGAACAGGATGTGGTCATTGCTGGCTAGAACAACATTTATTGCCCATCCCTAGTTGCCCTTGAGAATGCAGTGAGCCACCACCTTGTGTTGCTGAAGTCCATTTAATGTAGGGTCACCCACAATGTTATTAGGGAGGGTGGGCTACATGATGGCACAGTGGTTAGCACTGCTGCTCCACAGTGCCAGAGACCTGGATTCAATTCCAGCGTTGGGTGACTGAGTGGAGCTTACATGTTCTTCCATGTCTGCATGTCTTTCCTCCTACAGTCCAAAGGTGTGTAGTTTAGGTGGTTCAGCCATGCTAAGTTTCCCTGTAGTGTCCAGGGATGTGTAGGCTAAGAGGATTAGCCATGGTAAATGCGGGGTTACAGGAATACTCTTCAGAGGATTGATGCAGACTCAGTGGGCTGAATGGCCTCTTTCTGCACTGTATGGATTCTGAGTTCCAGGATTTTGACCCAGCAAATGTGAAGGAATGGCAGTATAACTCCAAGTCAGGATAATGTACGGTTTGTGAAGAAATTTGCAGATGGTGGTGTTTCCATGCATCTGTTGCCCTCGTTCCTCTGGGTAGTAAAAATCATGGGTTTGGAAGGTGTTGCAGGATCAGCCTTGGTGAGTTACTGCAGTCCATCTTGTAGCTGTAAAACAACACTTCTGACACTGTGTGAGTGGGAGAGGGAATAAACGTTGCAGGTGGTTCATCAAGTGGGCTGCTTTGTCCTGGATGGTGGCAAGCTACTTGAGTGTTTTTGGAGCTGCACCCATCCAGGCAAACGGGGAGTGTTCCCTCACTCCTGTCTCACATCCCGTAGATGACAGGCTTTGGGGAGACAGAAGGTTTGAGAATTCCCAGTCTCTGACCTACTCTTATAGCTACAAATAGAAAGACCTGTATACCTGAAGGCATTTTCCTAATTTGTCTAGTCTCCATATCGTACAATTTTTACAGTGACTTTGGAAAGGTGCAAAATAAATTTAATGGAATGATAGTAAAATGGAGAGATTATACCTGTTAGGAAATATTGAACAGATTGGAGTTCTTTTCTCTAAAAGAGTGCGCTGAGGGTGGCCTGATGGAAACCATTTTAACCTCAATGTCTGTTACTGGCTTTCTGAAAGAGAAATAGTCCCACTACCTACAGCTCAACAAATGTTTCCTTTTAAGGATGTGTCCACTTCCCTTTTGAAACTTGCTCTTGAATCTGCTTTCACTGTTCTTTCAGGAAGTGCATTTCAGATCATAACCACAATGTGTTCAAGAAAAGAAAACTCTTCATCTTCACTGCCAGTCTTTTTTTTAAAAAACTTTAAATCTAAGCCTTCCGGTCACTGGTCCATCAACTATTGGGAACAGTTTCTGTACAGTTTTTCTATTAAGGTCCCTCAAATGAAAAAAGGAATCAACATTCTGTCTCACAAGAGGACAGAAGAAATATAGCAATTGGATGGTCAATAAATCCTGACATTGTCAGTGATGTCCACATCCCATGAATCAAAAAAATACTACTTTAATTTTAATGAATAAAAGAATGACCAACTTGGGATTCCTACACAAAGGACCTATACCAGAAATTTAATTTCCAATTAAGCAAAAAACAATTGCAATTATCCAGTACCTTAAACATCTCAAAGTGTTTCACAGGAAAATTCGCAACAAAATTTGACCTTATATAGTAGAACATGGACAGAAAGCTTTTGACAAAGTGTTGGTTTCAAGGGGAGTCTCAAAAGGAGAAGACAGAACTAACCAGAGAAAGCAGGAACTGCAGATGCTGGAGAATCTGAGATAACAAAGTGTAGAGCTGGATGAACACAGCAGGCCAAGCAGCATCAGGAAGGCTGACGTTTTGGGCCTAGGCCCGAAACGTGTCAGATAGAACTAACCAGCTGGACAGGTTTAGGGTGGGAATTCCAGAAAGCAAGGCATAGGTAGCTGAAGCCAGGTTCATCAGCGGCAGAGCAGTTAAAAACTATGGAAGCAGAATAGGCTAGAATTGGAGGAATGCAGGTTGTTGAACAGTTGGCGTGTGTAACAAAATTGAAAAATGCCAGGGCTTTGAGCCACTTAAAATACATTTTGCTCAGGGTAAATGGCGAAGTTGGATGGAGACAGGAGGGAGGTGAAGAGCGAAACTTTAACATGTCATTTCCTTCCCTTGCATTACATCATCATCACTGAAAATATTTTTGTTGCCTTGTGGCACCAGTCTCCAGTTTCCGATACAGTAGCAGGCAGAATGCGCTCTCAGTCGACGCTGGCTTCAGCTCTGTTGTATGCCCCAATGAGGTGAGAATTCAACTGCACCACCACCACTGTTATATCATCCCTGTACATTCTGGCCATCTCCTCAGGCAAGCTGAGCATTTTCGACAGGCGGCTGTGCTCAATGCTGCCAAACTCGTTGCTGCCCAGTGCATGGCGGATCAAATGGGTGGCAACATTCTGGTCTTTGAAAGCTGAGGACACGCGAGCCTTCCTCTCCTGCAGCAGGCTGTGCATCTGGCCCACTGTTACCTTGTAGCCTGCCGCAGAGATGGGCTGCTGGAAGTGCAGACTGGCGAGGTGCTCCCCTACAATCTGCACCACGTTTTGCCTGTGCATGACGTCCCACAGGCCGTCAGTAGCCAGAATCAGGAACTTGTCCTGGGGCCGCAGCCTGTGATGAGTGACTTCGGGTTCGGCAGTGAGGTAAGGCGGAGTGTAGTAGTTGGCCGGGTAGCTTCTGGAGAACTCGTCACCTGTCAGCAACTCTGGTCGGCTTTCCAGCACTCGCTTCTGGAGCTCCAAGCTCCACTTGAACTTCACGTCTCCGAACGCCCTGAAAGGCATCAGGAGGCCCAGCAGCCTGTCGTGCCTCACGACTGTCTTCTCCTCCGACGCGGGGTGCTCTGACTGGACCCTCAGAATCTCCTCAGGATTCTGGGCATTGTGATCGGCGCTCAGTGTCAGGGCCGACCAGGAGCCGTCAGGATTTTGGACTCCCAGCACTGCTCGGCTATCGCCAGCATTTGCCACGTGCACGTCAGTGCCGTCGATGTGTGTGACACAAGCTGTGGAGCCGGACAGAGCTACCCGAAGTGCAGTGTAATTGGTGAACGGATTGCCTGCTCCAATCTGAGCTTCCAGAGAGATGTCACTGTCCAGACGTTTGAAGGCACGTTTCAAAGCAGCACTGGTATCCAGATTTTCTTCATCCACCAGGTCAATGCGTTCTTGCCAATAAGTCCTTAAACTGGTGAAGTAAAGCCTTCCTGCCTCCCTGCTCACATAATCATTGGGATGCTTGTGCCAGTGCAAAATAGGTGATACCGGTCGCTCGTTTTCAACCGCGTCTTCTATCTCGATTAAGGTCTTGCGAGGCAGCAACGACACAGCAATGTAATACAGCAACCTTTCACTGACAGCCTGAGCACAGGCACAGCCAGCATGGCCATCGAACACCCCCAGCAGCATCCCCCGGCTCTGCAGGCAGCTGGCCGCACTGCGCCGGTCCTCCATGGGGACATTGGAAGCTAGCTGATTACTGTCGAAGGCCAGCACTGAACTGATGTTCCTGCCGTCAAACTCTGGCACCTTGAAGCTGTACTCGTTGGTTTTCAGGATGTTGTTAATTTGTGGCAGTGTCAGCTGGTAGGGCTGAGGTTGGGCCCTGTAGGTTCTGCTATGCTGGAGTGTGTATGGCCTCCTCTGATTACGTGAACCTGGCAGAGTTTTGACAGAATGTCCACTGCAAAGATCCCTGGATGTCCATTTCCCACCAAAGTGGTTGCTCAGTACGGAGGCTGAAAGATAGATTCCTCTGGAGTTCCCAACATGACGAATACGATCTGTGGTGCCACCCACTCCCAACATTTCCTTCAATGTAGGTAATCCTGATCAAGACTCCATTGGCTTTGTCAGCATTGTGGCAGTGACAATACCTGTATGAGGGAACAAATCAGCATTTAGAGATAGCAATGAATTGTAAAAGTTACCGTGGTGTTGATTGTAGCTAGCACTCCCCATTTTGAGACAGGAGGTCATTGTTTGAAGTCCCACTCCAGAAACACAGTTTAGCCTGACAGTCCAATGGGTATGGAGAAATGCCACACCAACAGAGGAGGTTTCCTTCAGAATAAGATGCTAAATGGAGGCCTCAATTTGCCCTCATAAGTGAACGTGAACAATTGTAGGGCACTATTTTGAAGCAAAGTAAGATGTCATCCCCAGTCTCCTGCCTTATCCCTCAACCAAAACCTAAAACAGATCATCTGGTCTTTTCAATACAGAGTGGAGCTGGAGGAACACTGCAGGTCAGGCAGCATCAGAAGAGCAGAAATGTCAACGTTTCAGGCTTACTCCCTTCATCAGGACTGTGGAAGCTTGCTGTGTGCAACTTGGTCTATATTAAAGTATAGAGTACATTTCTAAAGTCTTATTCATAGAATCATAAAGCAATAATGGCACAGAAGGCCACTCATCGTATCAAGTCTCTACCAGCTTTCCTTGGACAATCCAGTCAGTTCTATTGCCCTACTTTATATGCGTATAATTACCAGCTTATTTCCCACAAGTGCCCATCTAATTTCCTTTTGAAGTCATTAATTGTCCCTGTTTCCACCTCCATCATAAGCAGTGCATTTCAGGCTGTTGCTATTTGCTGTGTCAAAAAGTTCTTCCTAAAACCCCCCTGCACTCTTACTAAGAATCTTTAATGTGTCCTTTGTACTTAACCTATCAGCAGATGAAAACAGCTTGTCTTTCTTTACCTTATCTAAACCTGTCATCACCTTTTAAACCTATATTAGATCTATCTTCAGGCTCCTTTGCTCCAAGGAAAACATCTGCCAATTTTTCCAACTTTTGTTACTAAAATCTGTCATCCCTGAAATCATTATGATAAATCTCCTCTGCACTTTCTCAAGTATCCTCACATTGTTCATAAAGTATGTTGAACAGAAATGGAGGAAGTGCTTCAAGTAACTAGAGCTTTGTAAAGGTCCAGAGTAACTGCCCTTCCTTTGTACCTGGTGTCTTTACTTATGAAGCAAGATCCCACATGCTTTGCCAGTATGTCCTACCATCTCTAAACATCTACGCGCCCCTCCAATCCCAGGTCGCTCTGTCCCTGCACATTCTTTAGAATGTGTAATTAAGTCTATATGGCCTCTTCCTACCCATCCTTCCAAAATCCATTGCCTCAGACTCCTCAAACTATCAATTGCCATCTATCACTTGCCTGCCTATTCCACTGGCCTACGTCCTGTGGCAATTAATTTGTACCATTGACTTCTTCACTGTATGTCACTCATCCAAGTTTTGTGTCAAACTTTTACTTGTTTGTGAAGGTGACACTTGCTCATGGCACAAACCTGCACATAGAGTTTTTAACATGGAGAGGTTGTGCACGGTCACTACCACATGGTTCTGGCTGGATATGAAACTCTCCAACTCTTAGTGTCTGGAATATTGGAAGAATTTACAGATTAATAATCTGACTCTGGTAAGGCTTGATAGCGTAGATATTGCAAACATATTTCCATTCCATGTAGAGGAATCTCAAACTAGGGGACATAGTTATAGTATAAGGGGATACTCACTTAAAACTGAGATACAAAGGAATTTATTCCCTCAGAAGGTAGTCTGTAGTTCTCTACTCCATAAATTTGTGGAGGCTGGATCACTGAAGTATTTAAAGATTTTTCCTGAAATATCGAGGAATTATGTGCTTTGACAAATTGGCACGCAAGAGGAGTTGACACCTGGGGCAGATCAGCTATGATCTTGTTGAATGGTGGCATAGGCTTGAGGGGCCAAATGGCGTATTCCTGTGACTATTTCTTATATTCTTTTGTAAATCCAGAGGTGGGACTTGAACCTAGGGCTTCTGGCCTTCAGATGGAGATGATACAACTATGCTCGAAGGCCTCTGAGATTTTACCTCGTATTCCAAAATCCGTGTTTATTGTAATATAGGGGGTCCATGCTATTTGTTGCTCTGATATTTGTTGTTTCAAATTTACATCTCTATTTTATTAGGGAACCATTTTCTGGATTCATTCAGCTGTTTCACATTTACTTTCAAATTTAATTTATTATTCCTATGGGAAATAAATCCTCTCTTTTGTTCTTTCTCTATTCATTAGATTTTTCTGGAAAGTTTCTCATATGAATAGGGAGGGCCCAATGTATTAAAGTAAAAGTGGTCCTGGCACTAATGGTTGGGGAACATAACTGTCTACCATCTTCCAGTCTGAAAAATAATCACTAAGCATGACCTGAAGTGTTCTAATGGAAGGTTAGAATCCTGAAACATTAATTCCATCTCGTTCACTGATGCCTCCTGACCAGCTGACTATTTCCAGAACATTATTTCTTTTAGATTTCAGACACCCAGTATCTGCAGTACTTGGTGTTTCCTGTCATTTTTTTTAAAATCCAAGCCAGAACCAATTCTCCTATTTGATGACCTTTGATTTCATCAGTCAACCTTTTATGAAGTACTTGTTAAAGGCTTCCTTAGATTCTACATGGATAATGCTTATTGCATCCCTCTATCAACCTTCAGTGTTTCTTCAAAGTATGAGAGTCACACAGCACGAAAACATGTCCTTAGACCCAACTCGTCATTGCTGACCAGGTTTCCTAAACTTGACTAGTCCCATTTGCCTGCGTTCAGCCCATATCCATCTAAATCTTTCCTTTCCGTGTACCTCTCCAAGTGTCTTTTAAATGTTGTAATTGTACCCGCCTTTACCATGTCCTCTGGCAGCTCATTCCATTTATGCACCACCCTGTGTGAAAAAGTTGCCCCTTAGATCCCTTTGAAAGCTTTCCTCTCTCACCTTAAACCTCTGGTTTTGGAATCCCCTACCTTGGGGATAAAAAACCTTGGCTAGTCACCTTATCTATGCTCCTCATGATTTTATAAACCTCTGTGAGGTGACCTCTCAGCCTCCTATGCACTGTCCCAGCCTATCCTAGATCAAAACCTCCAGTTCCAGCAACATTCTTGTAAATCTTTTTTGCACCCTTTCCAGTTTGATAACATCATTCCTACAGCAGGCTAACCAGAATTGTATACAGCGCTTCAGATGTGGCCTCACCAATGTCTTGTACAGCCATAACATAATGTCCCAACTCCTGTGCTCAGTGCTCTGACTGATGAAGGCAAGCGTGCCTTCATCACCACTCTGTCCACCTGTGACACCACTTATAAAGAACTATGTACTTGCACCCCTAGGTGTCTCTGTTCAACAACACTCCCCGGGGCTCTACTACTAACTATGTAAGTCCTGCCCTGGTTTGTCTTAGCAAAATATGACATCTCACATTTATCTGCATTAGACGCCATCTGCCATTCCTCAGCCCAATAATTCAATTGATCAAGATCCCATTGTACTCTTAGATAACCTTTTTCACTGTCCACTACACCACCAATTTTGGTATCATCCTCAAACTTGCTAACCATACCTCCTATATTCTCATACAAATTGTTTATACAAATGATGAACAACAGTGGACCCAGCACCGATCCTTGCGGCACACCACTGGTCACAGGCCTCCAGCCTCAACAACAATCCTCTACCACCACCCTCTGTCTTCTACCATCAAGCCAATTTTGTATCCAGTTGGCTAGCTCTTGCTGGATTTCATGTGATTAAACCTTACTAACCAATCTACCATGCGGAACTTTGCTAAAGTCCACGTAGACAACATCTATGGCTCTGCCTTCATCTGTCTTTTTGGTCACCTTTTCAAAACACTCAATCAGTTTGAGAGACACAATTTCCCACACACAAAGCCATGGTGACTATCCCTAATCTGTCATTGCCTTTCCAAATGCACGTAAATCCTTCTCTCAGAATCCCCTCCAATAACTTACCCACCACTGACGTCAGGCTCACTGGTTTGTAGTTCCCTGGTTTTTCCTTGCAGCCTTTCTTTAATAATGGCACATTAGCCATCTTCTAAGTCTTCCGACACCTCAGCTGTGGCTGTCAATAATATAAATACCTATGCTAGGGGCCCCGCAATTTCTTCCGTAGATTCCCTGGGTTAAATTTGATCAGGTCCCAGGGATTTATCTACCTTTATGCGTTGTAAGACGTCCAGCAACCCGTCTTCTGTAATGTGGACTCTTTTCATGACATCACAACTTATTTCCCCAAGTTCCCTAGCTTTCATGTCTTTCTCCACAGTTCTTTGGAGATTTTGATTTGCACCAAGACTTAGAAATTAAGATCAAAGTGAACTACCTGGTACATACGACCTTAAAGTCTGTGAGCAGCAACATCTTGAATTAATTATTTTTCTCAGCCTGATACCTGCTGCAGTGTTCCTACTGGTAATCATTGAATTAAAATTAATTTAAGTCTCATGTAAATCACTGAGACACAGGTTGAATCTCAAACTGATGTATTTGCATTGGCAGGACTTTTCTCCTGGTGGGGAGGGAGTGTCTGGGTACCTGGATTCAAGTGCTTCTGCGACTGAACAAAACTGCTTCAAAAAGACCACTTTCTCAAACAGGAACGCAACATTAAAGTTAGAAGAGAAACAGCATTATTCCCAATAAACTGATCAAGACATAGTGAAAGAAAGAATAAAAGAAAATACTTGCATTTTTGGATTTATTTTGTTCAGATATGTTACGACACACCTCTGGAGCAGGTGGAACATGAATCCAGGGCTCCTGGCTCAGAGGTAGGGGCACTAAAAGAGTCACTGTGTTGCTTCATTCACTCTCTGCATTATCAGACTGAAACACATTCTATCGTGTTAGCAAATGGATGCTGTGGTTCAAGACTTACACTTAAGTAGTGCTTTTCATGGAATTTCAAAGTACCTTCCAGCCAAATTGACACAGTAAACGCCCACAAACAAGGTGATCATAACCAAATAATGTTTCTGTGATGTTGATGATTATTTGTCAGGATTTTGAGTTGAACAACTCCACTCTTTTTAAAAAGTGATGCTGTGGATCTTTTACATCCACTCAAGTGGACAGATAAGTCCTTAGCTTGGCATCTCGTCTGAAAAACAGCATTCCTACCATCTCACTTCCTCAGTAGTGCGCTGGAGTATCAGCCTAGATCTTTGTGCTCAAGCCTGGAGCGGGGCTTGAACCCAGATTTTTGACTCAGAGGCAGGAGAGTTATCCACTGACCCAGAGCCGACACTAGAAAAAAAGCAGTGGGAGGGAATTTCAAACAGCCAACATAGAGAGAAAGGATCAAATGACTTCTTTCTGTGCTCTAGAATTCTATGAAATCGAAAAGAAATCTTGTTGCTTTTAAATACTGAAGCAAAAAATCCAATTGTAAGTTATGTGTCACAGTAACTTTGCTAATCAGTCCAATATCCCAGCAAACAAGGTCAAACAGTCAGTTTTCACTGCTGAAATTACATAATTGACCAGCTTTGGAAAAATTATTACTTTTTTCTGTGAACTACCAAATAATCCACAATAGATTTGCTCAGAAGGAAGATTGTTCTACAAAAATCATACAAGTGTCCAGGGTAGTCAAATACCCAGGCTGTTACTAAACTGACTAGGTGTAATCGTGTCTGTAAACTGGAAAAGATGTACCTAGTTCAAGGTATCTGCTTCATTCATTCTAAGCATTGTCAGATTGAAACATTCTATCATGTTAACAAATGGATGCAGCGGTTCAAGAAGAGAGCTCACCACCACCTACTCAAAGATAACTAGGGATGAGTAATAAATGCTGGCCCAGCTAGCGATGCACACATGCCATGAATGAATATAAAAAGCAGCAATTTATCAAAAATCAACAACAGGGTTAAATAACAGCTGCAAATCTTGCCCATTGCTTTGTTTTCATAAAAACAAAAAGGTTATTCAGTCCTTCGAGCCTGTTGCAGCATTTATTCAATCACAGCTGATATGCATCTTAGCTCCATCTACAAGTCTTGGTTCTGTGATCTGTAAGGAACTGGTTAACAGACCGCAATGCATTTATAGTGGTGATGGTTATGTAGAAACTGAATAGGTGCAATTGATGCTTGTTAACACTGATGAATTAAATAAAACAATGTGAATTCAATAGAACTGTTAATTATAGCAAAACTGGGTGAAACAGGCAGAGGTAGATTGAAAACAGACAGGCAACAGCAGCAGAAAAGAACTGAAATTGCTGTTAGCACTCAGCAGGTCTGGTAGCATCTGTGGAGAGAAAGCAGAGTTAACGTTTCGAATCTAGTGACTAATCTTCAGAATTGAATTTTGAAGAAACTTTGAGTTCTGAAGAAGGGTCCTTGGGCCCGAAACATCAACTTTGCCTTCTTTCCACAGATGCTGCCAGACCTGCTGAATTTTTCCAGCAAATTCAGTTTTTGTTTCTGATTGCCAGCATTCGCAGTTCTTTCGGTTTTTTGGCAATTATAGCAGATCTGAAAGAAGTTCTCTTCTTAATATAGTGCTATGGGTACATTGCACCAGATGGATGCTAATGTTCAAGACAGTGGATTACCACCACTGGACTTCAGGGTAATTAGGGATGAGGAATAAACACCCATTTGTTAAGCAAGAGTCAAGGAAAAAAAAGACAGAAGACAAGTGTCAATGGGAACAGTTGTGCCTGTTTCAAGTAAGGAAATCTGAGTGAAAGATCACTGCTGAGTGGCCAACAGTCACTTCAGATTGACCATCTGAAAGGGTAACTGAATGACTTAATTGAAACCATTTTGTTTAAATTTCTCAATAAAGTTGCTGGATTTAGTGTGAGACACCCCAATTTTAATTCTTGTTCTCCAAGCTTAAGAAAAACGGGGAAAAAACACTCACAAACCCTAATACACTTACCTAACGAAGTCAGTTAATCTCCATTGTTTTGAGATTTCCAAGTGGCCACCAACCACAAAAGCTTCCTGCAAACAGCAAACGATGTGCGTTTTATTGCTTAACATGTGCCATGCCATAAAAATTCCGAATGCAAAAGGAAAGTACTGCCAATGCTGAAAATCTGGAATAAGAACTGAAAGTAGCAATGTCACACACCTCCTAAGGGGAGAGGTGCTGGGTTAACATTAACAGAGCCCAGCATTTTATTGTTTTGTAGATTGGTGCCAACATCGTGGGTTGAATTCCCATAGTGGTTGAGGTTACCATGAAGGACACTCCTTAACCTGCCGCATCGCCTACGGTGCGGTGACCCTCAGGTTGGACTACCATTAGTCCTTAGCCCTTTCGTCTGGTAACACTATGGCGACTTCACCTTTGGAGTAATAATTAAATTACATTGCAGTGTAATAAAACAAAGAACTGCGGAAGTTGGAGATCTGAAGCAAAAAGAAACAGAGATGACCCTCAGAAGAAATTCGGGCAGGTCCTGGCAGCATTTGCGAAGGGCGTTAACGTTTCGAACCCGGTGACCCTTTCTCTTCAGACACAGCAGAAGAGACACTGCAGGTCTGTCCTGAGAGATGGTGCCTTCATGGCCTGTGCCCACAGCCTGCAATTCATATTTAACTCACCCAACTCGTCGAAGGACCTACATCCAGCAGAAATCAGCTATTGTGGCCACCGCTCCTCTCTGTCTCTCTCCACTCCACTCCACTCTGCACATACTGATGCAGCAGGTTGGAGCACTCAGCCCCTCTCTCTGCCAGGAGATAGAGGTGGGAGGAGGGGGCGGGTACATCGGGCCGGACTGATGGGCAGGCGCACCGGCCAATCGACGCTCGCACAACGGGGGGCGAGTCCGGGGCGGTTTTGATGGGCAGGCCCGTCGCCCAATCGTATCTGACGTGGTGGAGGCGGGTACGTCGGACGGCCTTTGATGGACAGGAGCACCGCCCAATCGCAGTAGCCACAACTGTCGAGCCCACGCGCGTCGACGCGCCGGCTCACGTCGAGCCCGGCATCTCCTTAGCAACCGACAGGCCTGAGCGTTAGGTAGAAGCTTGCGGTTTTTAAATCATTGTTGAATGCAGGAAACAATTGGAATTCATTTAAATTAATAACCATTAAATAAATCGGTGAATTCTAAAGCAGCTAACGATTTGCGCAACGATGATATCGGACTCGTTTACCATGAAATAATAAACAGCCATTACAAAGTGTTAACAATACCATCTGATCCCTCGCTGTATCATTGACCTGATGTAGATCAGTGGTGTAACATTTATTTCCGGATTATTTTTCTTTTTTTAACATTCGTTTTCTCACATGATTGGCTTCACGGGGCACCCACATATGTCATTTCCGTTGCTAAGGTGAGAGGTCACCGACAGCTTCCGGACCGTAGTTTAGCTGTTTATCGCAGGGCTTTAAACGTGCCCCGGATAAGGGGCACTCTCACTGGGATATGCTCGGCAGAACTGCCCTTCGGGGCTTCGTGGGGGCCCGAGGAATCCTGTGCAGGAGGTTCGGCGCCTCACAGAGACGCAGGGATGGGGATGAGAGTGGTGAGTCTAGCGTGGCGGGGGAAGGAAGTGGGATGGAGATGGATCAGAAGATGAGTTGGCGGTGGGAGGTGATGGGGATGGGTTTAGGGGGACTGGGATGAGGGAAGTAGATCGGGGCGATGCGTTTGCTGGTGGTGGGGGCGGCGGAGAGAGAGTTGGGAGGTGGATTGGGGGGCGGATGCGTCTTTGGGGGTGGGGAAGGGGAATGTGTTTCGGGGTACGGAGAATTGGGTGGAAGGACTTGTTGAGCAGATGGATTGGGATTAGACCGGGTGGATTTTGAAGGGCGAAGTAGTGGTTAGTGTGATACTATCTGAGCTTCACTCGTGAAAGTATTTGCCAAAGTTATGTAATTTTTTTGAAATTTGTTGTGTTTTTCTAGATAACGATTCTTCAAAAGATTTTGAAGATAAAGTTCGACCTCTGTACTTGGATTTCCAGGCTACCACACCAATGGTAGGAATGTTTGATGCAAATAATCCAATGAGGTGCAAATTAGAGGAGTTTTTAAAGTGGTGCTTGTGTAATCGGATGGCTGACCAGTTAGCCCCAGGCATATTGAATTCTATACTCTTTTGTAACTTGTATCTCCCTTTCCCTCCTATGATCCTCTAAAGATTTCTGTGCTTCTCTGATTCTAGTCTGTGACCATTCCCACACTTAATTCATTTCCAGTGGCACATTTGCCTTCATCTGGTTCTGAGTGGGTTCTGAGCTCTTGAATTCCCTCCTAAGTCACTTCACCAATTTTAAGATATTCTTCAAAACCAACTCCTTGATTAAGCTTTTGGACATCTGCTGTAAAAATTCCTCATGTTCCTTGATGGTGCTTTTATGAAATGCCTTGGTGCATTCATTACGTTTAGGATAACTTATGATATTTTGAGAGTTGTACTAAGTGTATTATTAAATTGTACAGACCGCAGTAACAGATTTCCGTTTAGAGTCATACAGATGTACAACATGGAAACGGACCTTTCGCTCTTACTTGTCCACGCCGACCAGATATCCTAGATAAATCTAGTCCTGTTTGCCAGCATTTGGCCCATATCCCTCTTAAACTCTTCCTATTCATACACCCATCCAGATGCTTTTTAAATTTTGTAATTGTACCAGCCTCCACAACTTCTTCTGGCAGGTCATTCCTTACACGCTGCACCCTTTGCGCGAAAAAGTTGCCCCTTGTGTCCCTTTTTAAATCTTTCCCCCTCTCACCTTAAACCTCAAAGACCTTGTTTATTTACTCTATTCATGCCCCTCATGATTTTATTAATCCCTATAAGGTCTCCCCTCAGTCTCTGATGTTCCAGGGAAAATGGCCCCAGCGTATTCAGCCTCTCCCTATAGCTCAAACCCTCCAACCCTGACAACATCCTTTGTAGATCTTTACTGAACCCGTTCAAGTTTCACAACATCCTTCCTAGGGCAGGGAGACCAGAATTGAACACAGTATTCCAAAAGTGGCCTAACCAGTGTCCTGTACAGCCACAACATGACCTCCCAACTCCTGTACTCAATGCACTAGCCAATAAAGGCAAGCATACCAAATGCCGCCTTCACTATCCTATCTACCTGTGAGTCCACTTTCAAGGAACAATGAACCTGCACGCCAACGTCTCTTTGTTCAGCAACTCTCCCCAGGACCTTACCATTAAGTGTGTAAGTCCTGCCTTGATTTCCCTTTTCAAAATGCAGCACCTCACGTTTATCTAAATTAAACTAAACTGCTTCTGCCACTCCTCGGCCCATTGGCCCATCTGATCAAGATCCCATTGTACTGTGAGGTAACTTTCTTTATCCATGACACCTCCAATTTTGATGTTGCCTCCAAACTTACACTCAATACTTACTATGTTCGTATCCAAACCATTTACATAAATGATGAAAAGCAGTGGACCCAGCACTGATCCTTTGTGACACACTACTAGCCACTGCCTCCAGTCTGAGAAAAAAATCCTCCACCACCATCCTCTGTCTTCTACCTTCGAGCCAGTTCGGTATCCAAATGGCAGGGTTCTTCCTGTATGCCATGTGATCTAACCTTGCCAACCAGTCTACCATGAAGAACCTTGTTGATCGTCTTACTGAAGTCCATATAGTTCACTTACACCACTCAACAATAATCTTCGTTACTCTTCAGAAAGCCTAATCAAGGTATTGAGGCGTGACTTCCCAAACACAAAGCCGTGTTGACTATCCCTAATCAGTCCTTGCTTTCCAAATGCACGTAGGTCCTGTTCCTCAGGATTGTCTCCAACAACTTGCCCACCACTGATATCAGGCTCACTGGTCTATAGTTCCCTGGCATTTCCTTACCATCCTTCTTAAATAGTGGCACCATGTTGGCCAACCTTCAGGCTTCTAGCACCTCACCTGTAGCTGTCGATAATACAAATATCTCACAAGGGGCTCGGCATTCACTTCCCTTGCTTCCCACAGAGTTCTAGGGTACACCTGATCAGGCCTGGAGACTTATCCACTTTTATGTGTTTTAAGCTATCCAGCACCACCACCTCTGTAATATGGACATTTTTCAAGATGTTGTATTTATTTCCCCACATTCTTTACCTTCCATATCCTTCTCCACAGTAAACACTGATGTAAAATACTCGTTTATTACCTCCCACATCTGCAGTCCGACTCCAATTAGACCCCATTGCCCAGAACGTCTTCCACTCCCTACCCCTCTCTGCCTTCTGCAAGGACCAGTCCCTTTGCTACTCCTTAGTTTGTGCTATGCTGCCCGCCAACCACTCCAACTCACCCGGTACCTTCCCCTGTAGCTGTGAAAGATGCAACACCTGCCCACACACCACCTCCCTCACCTCTGTTCAAGACCCTAAACAGCCCATCCAGGTGAGACAGAGTTTCACCTGCATCTCCTCCATCCTAGTCTGTTGCATCTGGTGTTCCTGGTGTCGTCTTCTGTACGACAGTGAGATCAAACGTAGACTTGATGACCGTTTCGCTGAGCATCTTCGCCTGGCCCGTAACAACTAGCCTAACCTCCCGGTTACCGCCCATTTCAACTCCTCGCCCTACTGCCCCTTTGCCATGTCCATACTCGGTCTCCTCCAGTGTCAGAACGAATCAGAATGCAAATTTGAAGAACAACACCTTATCTTTCACCTGGGCACCCTGCAGCCTGGAGGACTTAACATTGAGTTCTCCAATTTCAAATAACCTTCCCATCCATCCCTGGGCTCCCCTTCCAGCACCACCTCCACCCTTCCATTCCACCTTCTGTCCCTCCCTTCCAGCCACCGGATTCATCCCTCCCATCGACCAACCAGTTTGTACCTACTTCCTGTGTTCACCTATCATCACTATTCCGCTTCCACCCCTTCCCCTTATCTGCAGCTCCCCCTACCCCCACATGCAGCCCTGAAGAAGGGTAATACCCAAAACGTTGACTGCTCCTTTCCTCCAGATGCTGCCTGGCGTGCTGTGTTCTTCCAGCCTCCCGCTTGTCTACCACACATAGGTGGCCTTTCTGATCTTTAAGAGGCCCTATTCTCTCCCTAGTTACCCTTTTGTCCTAATGTATTTATAAAATCTATTTGGATTCTCCTTAACCCTGTTTGCCAAAGCTATTTCGTGTCCCCTTTTTGCCCTCCTGATTTCCCTCTTAAGTATACTCTTACTGCGTTATACTCTTCTAAGGATTCACTTGATCTCTGCTGCCTATATCTGACATAGGGTTCCTTCTTTTTGTTGACCAGAACCTCAATTTTTCTAGTCATACAGCATTCCCTACAGCTACCAGCCTTGCCTTTCATCCTAACACTAACATACTATCTCTGGACTCTTGTTATCTCACTTTTTGAAGGCTTCCCATTTTCCAGCCATCCCTTTACCTGTAAACATTCGCTCCAATCAACTTTTGAGCATTCTTGCCTAATACTGTTAAAATTGGCCGCCTTCCAATTTACACTTTAATGTTTAGATCCGGTCTATTCTTTTCCATCGCTTTTTAAAACTAATAGAAATATGTTTGCTGGCCCCAGTGTTTCCCCCACTGACACTTCAGTCACCTGCCCTGCCTTATTTTCCAAGAATTGGACATGTTTTGCACATTCTCTAGTAGGTACAACCACATACTGAATCAGAAAACACTCTTGTACACACTTAACAAATTCATCTCCATCCAAGTCCTTAACACTGTGGCAGTCCCAGTCTATGTTTAGAAAGTTAAAATCCCCTACCATAACCACCC